TTCTAGTATAGTCATATGATGAGACATAGGCATGTGTGGCAATGTAGTGCACCATGGATGGATATGCATATGCAATACTATATACAAGAACAAAGGAGATAAATCACTAGTAAAACATAAATGTTGATATAAAACGTTACAAAAAACTTCTTAATATGGCTCACAAAGTTTAAATAAAATAAAATTAAATAAGTATTGTTACAATATAGTATAATATCTGGTAAAATTGGTATAGTGTATGGTATATGTGTGTATGCATAGACATGGAAGCATAAGAAATATAAATATATAGGAAAAGAAAAAAAAAATTGAATTTTTTTTTTTTTTTTTTTTCTTTTCCTATATATTTATATTTCTTATGCTTCCATGTCTATGCATACACACATATACCATACACTATACCAATTTTACCAGATATTATACTATATTGTAACAATACTTATTTAATTTTATTTTATTTAAACTTTGTGAGCCATATTAAGAAGTTTTTTGTAACGTTTTATATCAACATTTATGTTTTACTAGTGATTTATCTCCTTTGTTCTTGTATATAGTATTGCATATGCATATCCATCCATGGTGCACTACATTGCCACACATGCCTACGTCTCATCATATGACTATACTAGAATGAGAGGCACACACCCTGTAGGCTGCATCTCTATGAATTAATAAGTGTCTCTGCTGGGTTTCAGATCTACTCTCTATAATAAATCCATGTCCCATGGTTGTCTATGGCAAGCAGAGCACTAGGCAGCTTCGTAGCGTTGCTCATCCATCCATCCATTTATTTAAAGGCGAGCAGTGCAGTGCATCACCAGGGAAGGATTTTTATTATTTTTTATATATGTGTAACTTTTTCCATTTATTTATTCATTTTTCACTGTGCACACTTCTTATGGTTCATATGATTTTATGATTGTCACTAGTTTCAATGGTTTTATTTATACACATATATATATATATATATTTTTATAGACCTTTCGTGTTTACTTACACTATGTCGATTGCCCCTGTGACTCCTCCACCTGCACAGGGGAGTGTCCAGGACGGCCCATGTGACCTTTGGTTTAACTAGTAGTGAGCATATAAAAGAGGGAGCAGACATTTGGTCAGTTGGCTCTGAGGAAGAGGCAAGTCCTCGAAACGCGTCAGCCTTTTGGATGTCTAAACTCCCTATTGCGGACTGTTACTCAGCGCGGTGTTGATCCAGCTGTTCTTTTATGATGTGCCTTGACTATATTGTCGTTTGTGAGTACAACAGCTACTTTATTATTTTTTATTAAACATTTTTTATGGTAATGCACTAGGCCTGTGCGCCCTCTTTTTGTTCTTTCCCCATTAGATAGATAGATAGACCTGACTCCTGGAACTGAGACCTCTGTCTCCTGGCTTTTGGCTGGGTCCTCTGACTCTTCAAAAAGACCTTTCATCTCCCACACAGGGAACGGTCTCCAACTGGGAGCCCTGAGCTATTCTCAGACCCGAGTATACAGGTGAAACTCGAAAAATTAGAATATCGTGCAAAAGTTCATTTATTTCAGTAATGCAACTTAAAAGGTGAAACTAATATATGAGATAGACTCATTACATGCAAAGCAAGATAGTTCAAGCCGTGATGTCATAATTGTGATGATTATGGCTTACAGCTCATGAAAACCCCAAATCCACAATCTCAGAAAATTAGAATATTGTGAAAAGGTGCAATATTCTCAGCTCAAAGTGTCCCACTCTAATCAGCTAATTAAGCCATAACACCTGCAAAGGGTTCCTGAGCCTTTAAATGGTCTCTCAGTCTGGTTCAGTGGGAATCACAATCATGGGAAAGACTGCTGACCTGACAGTTGTGCAGAAAACCATCATTGACACCCTCCATAAGGAGGGAAAGCCTCAAAAGGCAATTGCAAAAGAAGTTGGATGTTCCCAAAGTGCTGTATCAAAGCACAATAATAGAAAGTTATGTGGAAGGGAAAAGTGTGGAAGAAAAAGGTGCGTAAGCAGCAGGGGTGACTGCAGCCTAGAGAGGATTGTCAGGAAAAGGCCATTCAAAAGTGTTGGGGACTTTCACAAGGAGTGGACTGAGGCTGGAGTCAGTGCATCAAGAGCCATCACACACAGATGGATCCTGGACATGGGCTTCAAATGTCGTATTCCTCTTGTCAAGCAGCTCCTGAACAACAAACAACGTCAGAAGCGTCTTACCTGGGCTAAAGAAAAACAGACCTGGTCTGTTGCTCAGTGGTCCAAAGTCCTCTTTTCTGATGAGAGCAACTTTTGCATCTCATTTGGAAACCAAGGAAACACTGCAAGATGCTTGAAGTCCAGTGCGAAGTTTCCACAGTCTGTGTTGATTTAGGGAGCCATGTCATCTGCTGGTGTTGGTCCACTATGCTTCATTAAGTCGAGGTTCAACGCAGCCATCGACCAGGAGATTTTGGAGCACTTCATGCTTCCTTCTGCAGATGAGCTTTATGGGGATGCTGACTTCATTTTCCAGCAGGACTTGGCACCTGCCCACACTGCCAAAAGCACCAAAACCTGGTTCAATGACCATGGGACTACTGTGCTTGATTGGCCAGCAAACTCGCCTGACCTAAACCCCATAGAGAATCTATGGGGCATTGCCAAGAGAAAGATGGGAGACATGAGACCGAACAATGCAGAAGACCTGAAGGCCACTATTGAAGCATCCTGGTCTTCCATAACACCTCAGCAGTGCCACAGGCTGATAGCTTCCATGCCACGCCGCATTGAGGCAGTAATTGCTGCAAAAGGGGCCCAAACCAAGTACTGAGTACATATGCATGCTTATACTTTTCAGAGGTCCGATATTGTTCTATGTACAATCCTTGTTTTATTGATTGCATGTAATGTTCTAATTTTCTGATATTGTGGAATTGGGGTTTTCATGAGCTGTAAGCCATAATCATCACAATTATGACAAATCACATCTTGAACTATCTTGCTTTGCACGTAATGAATCTATCTCATATATTAGTTTCACCTTTTAAGTTGCATTACTGAAATGAATGAACTTTTGCATGATATTCTAATTTTTCGAGTTTCACCTGTATAATGACACCTCATAGCTGTATACTCCAGATTGCACGTATCCAGAAAAACCCAATCACAGGATTGAATGTTCCGATCCAGAGCTGCAGAATCCAGAGAAAGGCAAATCCACAGCTTTCTCTGTCCAGAAACAGTCTGGAATGTCGCATTCACCCGAAATATGAATACTGTGTCACATTTTCCTATCTTCTCACAGTGACAGAGTCTCTTCCTGCCACATTATATACAGTGAGCACTGGTTGGCAAGATGGTGGACACTCTGAGGGTTATTCACTAAAACTGCCTGGTGAAAAATCTGATGCAGTTCTGCAGAGAAACCAATCAGCTTCCAGGTTTTATTGTCAAAGCTTGATTGAACAAGCTGAAATTAGAAGCTGATTGGCTACCATGACAGCTGCACCAGATTTTGAGTGCTCCAGTTTAATAAACCTCCCCCTGTGTAGGTCCCACCTATACATGGTGAGGTGCTTCAGAGTTAATGGCTGATGCGGTAAAAACAATCTTTACGTTTTTTCAGAATATTAATAGGTTCTGGTCTAGGTCTTGGAGTCTGGAGACTTTGTAGAGCTTTGCATGAGATAATGCTTCTATTTCTATGTCCACATCGTACCTGGTAGCCAGGCCTCATTATTATTCTCAGCCGTTTACAGGTCTTTATACTGTATATGCAAGCTGACTGATGCTCAGGGCTTTCTCTCCTTCTCTGCTGTGGGAGTCTGCTGCTGGGCAAAAAGGATTTGGAGAACCCATTGGAGACGTTCTGTTAGTCAGGAGTTTAGTTGATGGTTTGGACGAGTAGATGCTTTGTTTGTGTTATTCTATGGACTTGCTATAAAATACTCTTTGGCAGTGAAAAACTGGGTTCCCCCCCTTCCAATAGCCTATATATATATATATATATATATATATATATATATATATATTATAAAATAGCTTGAATAACTGAAACCTCGAACTAAAGGCCATAAACTGGTAGATTTTTGGACATTTGTACAAGGATTCGTACAAAAATCCTCACTACATTCGATGAATTGACAAATGCCGTTCAAAAGTACTAATAATATTGCTCACTTTAAACATTCAATTTTGAAATTAATGGACTATCCTGAACAAAATCACATACACGGTTATAAATTAATTTGTTCCAGGAAAATTCTTCATCCTGCTCCTTCCAATTTTCGCATCATTGTGCTCAAAGCAAACATGTTAAAACAAACAATTTAGAACAGAATTCTAGTATGTAGCAAGCCTAAGCCATCCAAAATTGGAGAAGTCACTGCTCATGAGTCATTCACATCTATATGTAAATTTCTGTGTGAGCTATTGGGTATTGTAAAAAAAAAAAAAGGCTTTTTTTCATCAAAAAAAGCAAACTGGGATCCTTCACGCTGTAAAAGGGAGCTGAAATTTATACAGGCTGCCTCAAAAGCAGAAAGCAAAACTGGAAAATGTATTTGCATCCTATACATTGTATGTTTTAATTTACCAGAAAGATATAAAATTGTGCAATATCATTTTAACAATAATATTTTATTTTGATAGTTTAGTAATTTTAAAAAATCTCACTTTTGAAGTGCTGACATTAATAAATTAATTAATTATACTACTTTACATTCCCTTTAAAGGGCCAGAACACTGAAAAAAAAGAAAGATAGACAGGGAGTCAAAAAGTTTTTGTGCATTCAGTGTACAGAAAATCTAAAGAGACAGAGCAGGTAAATATTTTTTAAAAAAAACGTATGAACAGTGAAATTTACTTTAATTTTTACGAGCGTATTTCACTATATTTCTCATAACCGCCTGCACTCTTTAAATCAAGCTGAAAATAGGTAGGACTGTACTTATTATACAGTAATCAAGACCACTTTTCACTTTTGCCAAAATTTTGATAGCGGTCCTTTAAGGACAAACTAATTAGAGCCCTACATTCATTCTTCGCCAAGCAACGAAACAGTATTAAACAATACCTCTTGTATTGGATCAGCTTCATTTACAAAGTTGGGAACATGTCTAAATTCAGAGATTAAATCCTGCATCTTCTGTCCAAAATTATTCAGCCAAGAAGAGGAAACCTTCATATCAGAGGAGTGCATCAAGTCATTTCTACACTTTATAACCTTGAATACAGAAAAAAACTATCAGAAATCATTATAAAAACAACAGCAGTCTTATGTTTCAGTCTATGGTTAGTTCAGGTCCACTGTTTTTTACTTGAGTCTTGCAGATAAAATGTCTGTATTACGGCATTTAAAAAAGATTTACTATAGAACTGAGGCCTATAGGACAGCAAGATCCTTTACAGTCCTACTAAGGGGCCCCATTCAGATCTATTTTTATTTTCTTCTTCCAATTTTTCAAAATTTGTTAATTCTTCCAGTGAAAATTAACCTGTCTACGAGTTATTTCTATTTGTAGAAATATGTAATTTACTACTATGCTTTCTGGCATTTTGGATACCCTTGTCATGAAATAAACAATACTAAGTCAGGGTATCGTTTTTTTTTTAAGCTCTTTATTTATACATTTTCAAGTCATACAGGAGTAACTATGGTCTTCAGACAACAAAATGGTATGGGCAATGCGTATGTTACACATACATAGATGAGGTCATCAGTAGTACAGACACAGAATTACAGAGTATCATTTTTATTTGGCACAGCCTTTCTCAACCAGGGTTCCTCCAGAGGTTGCTAGGGGTTCCTTGAGCAAGTTCTGCCTCTCAAATTAGTAACCACTGACCACTAATGATCTTTTAAGCCATCTATAAAGGGGTATTCTTCCCAGTGACCACAAATGTATGGGCATTCTTCCCAGTGAGCTGTACATACAATAGTTATTAGTAGGGCTTCCATGTGACTGGAAACTAACATCAAAAGTTCCTTTGTGTTAATAAAGTTGAAGCAGGCTGAATTGGAGGAATCAATGGTGGAGCTGATGTATTGGTAGTTATAGTACATTCCATGAGTAATAGATTCCTTAAAGGGGTGTACAAGAGGTTGACAGTCAAACTCTCATTGAGCCAATTGAAAAATGAAGGATTAAATATTTTCTAATGCAACTCAGGACAAAATTCTGTATACTACAAATCACAGATTTTCCTTTAAAGATATAACATTGCCATAAACAGACATAAATCCCATAGTTATATTAAAAGGAAGAGGTGGTAAGGAATAGCCCCACCTACCCTGTCTGTTATGACAGAGTTTAGTGTGATGTGTGCACAAAGGCTGTTCTGTGTGTCACATTCTCGGAAATATTCCACCCTGTATGCTATGCTGTACGTGACATGTTCTGCGTTGCCCCACTCTATACTGTGTACTGTACATGACATTACCTTTCGCATTACTCTGTACAATGAACTGTACATGTCATACTGCATTGTCCTAGTCTGTACACTGTGTTATACATGACATGTTCTAGATTGCCCTGTTCTGTATTCCGTACTGTACATGGTATTACATGTGCTAGATCACACTATTCTGTACTGTACATGACATGTTCTAGATCGCCCTATTGTGTATTCCGTACTGCACATGACAAGTTCTAAATCACACTATTCTGTACTGTAAATTACAAGTTTTAAATCACCCTATTCTGTATGCCGTACTGTACATAACATGTTCTAGATCACACTATTCTGTACTGTAAATTAACTGTTCTAAATTGCCCTATTCTGTATATCGTACTATACACGGCATGTTCTAGATCACACTGTTTTGTAATCTGTACTGTACATGACATATTCTGGATCACACTTTTCTGTACTCAACAGATTCTAGGTTGGCCTATTCTGTACATGACATGTTATGCATCACTCGGGTATGTACTGTAATGTACATGACATGTTTCTGGGTCCCCCCCACTTTGTATTTTCTACTGTATGAGACATGTTCTGGGTCACTCCACTATTTATGCTGTACTACACACGAGTTTTGAGTTGTCCCATGCTGTATAAAGTACTTTACATGACATGTTCTGAGTTGTCCTAATCGAATTCTGTGTTGTACCTGACATGCTGTGAGTCACCGCACCATGTACACTGTACTGTACATGACATGTTGAGGGTCACCCTATGTACACTGCACTGTACATGACATGGTTTGGGTTGCCCCGCTCTGTACTCTGTACTGTACACTACATTGTTTAGGTTGCTTAACTCTATACCCTGAGCTGTTAACTAGTATTTATTATACCTTGATGTAAAGAAAACTCTCGCTGCATTTCATAGAACAAGTACCTCTCTAACTTTTGAAATATTTGACACTTGAAAGTGATCACAAGAATTGATTAGATTGAGGAGAGCGGCAGCATCACATTCATGGGGTCTTTTGGACTTTGTGTGCCCACGTGGTAAAAACACCTGCAATAAAATGAAACATTTGTAAAACAATGTTTAAAAGTTATATGCAACATTACAACCAAGATATGTCCATGTGCTTAACGTAGCATTCCAGTCAAACCCTGGAACTACAGGGTGCTAACTACACTGTGAAAGGAAAGCGGTCTATACTTAAATCTACTGAAGTCGCTCTGGTCACGTTATCAGATTCCAGTTCCGGCTTCAGTGTAGAGCAGGGGTGTCCAAAATTTTTTCAAAGAGGGCCAGATTGGATGAAGTGAACATGGTGGAGGGCCGAACATTTTTCCAAACATTCTTTGAACCATTACAATTAAATGCAAATAAATTATTTTATGCCAAGTTACCGTATTTTTCGCCGTATAAGACGCACCTGACCATAAGACACACCTAGGTTTTAGAGGCAGAAAACAGGAAAAAAAAAAATTCTGAACTAATGGACTGCAGACACAGTACAGGAGATGACCAGAGACTGCGGACAGCACAGGGATGACCAGAGACTGCGGACAGCACAGGGATGACCAGAGACTGCGGACAGCACAGGGAAGACCAGAGACTGCGGACAGCACAGGGATGACCAGAGACTGCGGACAGTACAGGGATGACCAGAGACTGCGGACAGCACAGGGATGACCAGAGACTGCGGACAGCACAGGGAAGACCAGAGACTGCGGACAGCACAGGGATGACCAGAGACTGCGGACAGTACAGATGACTGCTGACCTTTGGGGAGGTGGGAAGCGGGTACCTGAATTTGACAGGTACCCGCTCTTACTTCCGCAGAGTTTTTGTTTGATCTTACCTGTTCCTCGATCCAGCCGCACGCTGTCTTCCCGGCTTCTGTAATGCGCTCGCTCGGCATGACAGCCGGGTGCCCAGTGCGCATGAGCGAGAAGCACTTGCGCTTTGTGATTGGTCCGGCGGCTTCTGGGATCTGTCATGTGTCCCAGGTACCGCCTTACCATTCACAAAAAGCACCGCTTCTTGCGCGTGCGCACTTGGCACCCGGCTGTCATGCCCAGCGCCCACACTACAGAAGCCGGGAAGACAGCGCGCCGCTGGATAGAGGAACAGGTAAGGTCCCGCTGCAGAGCTGAGCGGCCGGCCCGGTATTCTGACACGGCCGCGGTGGAAATACCGGACTGGCCGCTCCATATTCGCTCCATAAGACACACTGACATGGAGGGCCGTATTAAACCGACCCTCGGGCCGTAAATGGCCCGCGGGCCGGACTTTGGACATGCCTGGTGTAGAGGAAGGACAGCCAAAAAAGAATGTCCCATAGTAAGTCTATGGGTGACGTCATCTCCCAGGATTTGCAGCTGTTGTTTGCGATCTCTCCTCTTCACTGAAGCCAGCCGCTGGAGAGATCATGTGACCAGACCATAGTGCCCTCAGAACAGGTAAGTATAGACATCTTTCCTTTACATGGATTAGAACGGAGGTAGGAGTAGGTTTAGGTACAGTTAGGATTTGACTAAAATTCCACTTAATCTCCTGGGTTCAGATATGTGCGGGGTCGGTTTGCAGTGTGATTTGTAAAACAGTTTGGTGTGGTTTCATTTAGTGGTTCAGGTGCAATTCCAATGCAAATAGTTAAAGTGTATGACATTGGAAATTGCACCTACACCGGGCTGAAAATCGCAGCCAACTCTTTTAAATCGCACTGCAACCAACCCACACATATGTGAACTGGCTCCATAGAAAAGGATTTTGGTTCACATGCCATGCGAATCGGATGCGGTTCACAACTCATCTAATTCGCATATATGTGAACCAGGTCTAAAGGGACTCACGGTTTATAGAAAGTGAAACAAAGCTATCCCTACAAAGAAAGTAATGAACACTTACCTGTCCTGCTGGCAAACTCCACTTCGTTGGAGGTATAGGCTTGCTGAAAGATTTTCAGCATCCGGCATACATGTGATCTCCATATCAGCAGCATGCACAGTGGTACAGATATTCATTGCTTTGTTTGCAGGGTTGGCTTAATTTAAAGTGGAGCTTCACCCAAAAGGGGAAGTTCCGCTTTAAAGATTGGTTCCCCGCTCCCCGTTAAGGATTGGCACCTCTAGGGAGCAGGTACCCCAAATCGACAGGTACCTGCTCCCACTTTGATTGCCTAGGTGATCAGAAGCGGAAGTTGTCCTCTCCCCCTCCCTCCCTGTAGTCTTCTGGGACACGTGACAGCTCCCACAAGACTACGAGGCCATTCACAAAGCGCAGCGCTTCTCGCGCATGCGCAGTGGGCACCTGTCTGTGAAGCTGAAAGCTGTCACAGCTGGGTGCCCACACTAAAGATGCCGGGTACAGGGACACTAAATGGCTGGTAAAACGGGCTGTGGGGGGAACACCACGGGATCGAGGGACGGGTAAGTATATGTTTTTTAAAAGTCAGCAGCTACAGTTTTTTCATTTTCACTTTTTTCATTTTCTCTGGAACCCCACTTTTTTTTTTCTAAATAGTGACAGAGTCCTGTCACTGGTTGTTAATGATAATGTTGGCTTTACAGCCAACAGCTTCCTAGCAACCAATGACTCTAGGTGGAATCTGATGGGAATGTTGAGAGTTCTCTATTGGATCTGCTCTCTCCTTATGACTGACAGAAGGCAGTGGGCAGATTCTATAGCCAATAGTAGGCTTTGGATCTGCCCAATGCCTGCTGACAATCACAAGAGGAGTGGACCCGATGGGGAACTAATGTCTTTGAATCTCCATCAGGCTCAGCCTGCCCAGCTTAAAAAAAATCCTTGGCCACTGCATTGTCTGACAGCTGCAGTGGCAGGAGGAAGTTCAGCTGCACAGAGGATAGAATGTTCTAATGCACATTCCGGTCTCAGTGTATTTCCTTGCGCACTGCGTGCCTTGGTCTTTTGTACCTGTTTACAACAGCTACATCAATCTGACATTTGTCATGTGGCGGCACATCAAAAAGAGGACATAACATCCCATTCTGTCCCACTGTGATTTTCCTTATAACTGAATGGAATGATTAAACCTGTGTGTGTGCCATAATGAGACTATGAACATTCAAAGGCTGGAAGTCAGAGCACTTGTACATAGTAGATATTGTGTTACCTTTGCCACCTCCCAGTAATCTGTAGGCCACAGTGATGGATTACAGTTCCCCCAGTGTATTTCTGCACTTCTGTTGTTATGATGATGCAGGATGTGGTCCTTCCACTCCATACACACAGGACAGCTAGGCTGGAACTTGACCGGGAAAAAAAAAGAAAAAAAAAAACTTAATATCCAAATCATGTAACCTGCCTATTTATTATGCTCCATTCACACTTGTGCAACTTCAAAATCGTGCGATTTTCTTTGCGACTTTACAGTGTAACTTTGACCAAGGTGATTGTTTATGCTGTACAAAGTCACACAGAAGTCGCATGTATAACATTCAGGGGCGACTTTCATGCGACTTTGGAGGGTTTACATTGAAGTTTATGGCCCTCAAGTTGCATGAAAGTTGGACCAAGTAGTGCAGGAACAACTTGAAGTTTCACAGATATGAATGGTACTCGTTGGAAAACATGGGGTACAACTTGTCATACAACTTTGCACCCCCAAAGTCACTTGACAAGTTGCACAAGTGTGAATGGGCTCTTACTAAATATGGGATACTTCCACAATGCTCTTTTTTTTTTATATGAAAGTTAGAAATGCACATGGCAGAAGAACTTGCTCAAAAAAACATTTGTATTAAACAATCAGGTATAGTAAAGGAAATAAGTATTTGATCCCCTGCTGATTTTGAATGTTTGCCCACTCACAAAGAAATGATCAGTCTAAAAATCGAATGGTAGGTGTACTGTAACATTGAGAGACAGAATAGCAACAAAAAATTCAAAAGAAATGCATGTCTAACAAATTATGCACTGATTTGCATGTTCATGAGGGAAATAAGTATTTGATCCCCTATCATTCAGCAGGATTTCTGGCTACCAGGTGTCTTTCATACAGGTAACAAGTTGAGATTAGAAACAGTCTCTTAATGGGAGTGCTGCTAATCTCATTTTGTTACCTGTATAAAAGATACCTGTCCACAGGAGCAATCAAACAATCAGATTCCAAACTCTCCACCATGGCAAAGACCAAAGAGCTGTCCAAGGACTGGGCTTCAAAACTATCGCCAAGAACCTTGGTGAGAAGGTGACAACAGTTGTTTGTTCGCAAATGGAAGAAACACAAAACAGGCAGTCTCCCTAGGTCTGGTGCACCATGCAAGATCTCACCTCGTGGAGTGTCAATGATCATGAGAACACTGAGGAATCATCCCAGAACTATACGTGAGGATCTTGTCAATGATCTCCAGGCAGCTGGGACCACAGTCACCAAGAAAACAATTGGTAACACACTATGCCGACAAGGATTGAAATCCTGCAGTGCCCGCAAGGTCCCTCTGCTCAAGAAAGCACATGTCCAGGCCCGTCTGAAGTTTGCCACTGAACATCTGAATGATGCAGAGGAGGACTGGTTGAAAGTGTTGTGGTCAGATGAGACCAAATTGAGCTCTTTGGCATCAACCTCAACTCGCCGTGTTTGGAGGAGGAGGGATGCTGCCTATGACCCCAAGAACACCATCCCAACTGTCAAACATGATGGTGAAAACATTCTACTTTGGGGGTGTTTTTCTGCTAAGGGGACAGGACAACTGCACCGCATCAAAGGGACGATGGACGGGGCAATGTACCATCAAATCTTGAGTGAGAACCTTCTTCCAACAGCCAGGGCATTGAAAATGGGTCGTGGATGGGTGTTCCAGCATGACAATGACCCAAAACACACAGCCAAGGCAACAAAGGAGTGGCTCCAGAAGAAGCACATTAAGGTCCTGGAGTGGCCTAGCCAGTCTCCAGACCTTAATCCAATTGAAAATCTGTGGAAGGAGCTGAAAGATCGAGTTGCCAAACGTCAGCCACCAAACCTTAATGACTTGGAGAGGATTTGCCAAGAGGAGTGGGCCAAAATCCCTCCTGAGATGTGTGCAAACCTGGTGGCCAACTATAGGAAACGTCTGGCCTCTGGGATTGCCAACAAGGGATTTGCCACCAAGTACTAAGTCATGTTTTGTGAAGGGGATCAAATACTTATTTCCCTCATGAACATGCAAATCAGTGCATAATTTGTTAGACATGCATTTCTTTTGAAATTTTTGGTTGCTATTCTGTTTCTCAGTGTTACAATACACCTACCATTCGATTTTTAGACTGATCATTTCTTTGTGAGTGGGCAAACATTCAAAATCAGCAAGGGATCAAATACTTATTTCCTTCACTGTATGTAATGTAGAAATCCACTTCTTTTTGTTTTAAAAATCTGCATTAATGGCAAACAGCAAACAAAATACATACAGTATATGAGAGCTGTTTTGTCTACCAAAGGATTTGTATTACTGTTCATCCAGGCCTGAGATTTACATAGCTCCCCCAAACAGCACAGACGGATTGATGGCACCTCTAAAAATTTGGAAATACAGTGCTCTCTCCACCCTTAGCCTGATGACTGGACAGTTAAAGTGCAGCAGGAGATGGATTAAGTCATGCTTCTACTCACTCTGTTTCCGAAGTACATTTGCGTACAATTCACAATGCTGCCCTTCCCTTTCTCAGTCTGAGTGGTGCTGTATAGGGGATTACAAGAGGCTGACACCAAGTCAAATTCAGGTACTTAGAATTGGTGCATTAAAAAAAATAAATATAATTATTAAAGAATATGTAAACCCAGCATTTCATATTCCTCATATATGCCTGCTGTACCATATACTTAGTATGGACTATGGATCCAGAGGACCAAGGATGGTGGCGCCCAGATAGGTGGTCTCGAAGCTCTGGGTGCACAAATATTGGATGGATTCCCAATCCCAGGCTCTCCTCAAGGCATAGATAATGCTCCAAGTAGCTCAAATAAACCAAATACAATGCTGTAAGTGTAGTGTTTATTAAAGACCATGGTTCAGATAAATAAAATGCCAATACCTTCACATGATGATGCCCAAATACCAGCACCAGTCTATGCGGCTTGTGTGTATTGTGGTGGTTTATGTAAGAATTTATTCTAAATACTTAGGGCGGAGTAGTCTCCCTTAAACAAAATATTGCAGTGCCTCCAGCCGTTAAAATACGGCAAATATTTAAGAAACCAATAATTTGGACACCTTAATAATTTGATCACCACTTAATAATATACCTTGAGTTCTTTCACCAATATGATTTCGTACCATATACCAGTACACAAAATGTGCCTTTTTGATAAATAAATGTATTTATGTACAAAATTTATATATATATTAATACAAACGCAAAATACTGGTGATGAATATATATTCGTACACACAATCAAAGATATAATATGCTAATATCTATATTATCATACAATATATGATTTCAAATAAAGGAAAAACTAAATTTTGGGAGGTTAGTTGCAACCTATAGTGCGTCAGATATTATTTCTCATATCCCGCGGCCGTAGGGAGATAAAAAAGTATCTCTGATAATTATCACCACACAACACTACAAATTAGTTAGTATGCAATATATAACCTCAATACCAATATTCAAACAGTTATAATCATATAGATAACCTTCATACATTCCTAACCACACAATACAATGTTATAAATCTTAGAAAGTTTGAAATATAAAAGAAAATGACAATATTTTGGCACAGTCTCACCACTCCCAGCATCTTGATTTTGAGGCCTCCCAGTGGGATGCAATTGGAAAAGATATATTTCTGGGCAGTCAGGCACCAGAATTTAAATGAGCATCAGTGTCTCTGGCGAAAATCTTTTCCTTCAAAATGGCAGCTAGAAGTTCTCAGCAAAATGGCCTCAGGTGGCAAGTGAGTATAGTGCAGTAAATAGTGGTAGTAGAGTAGTGAAGAAGTAGTTTCAGGAGTAGTTCAGAAGTTGTCAGAAGATCAGAAGTTTCCAGAAGAATGTAGTTTTGAAGATCAGAAGATTAGAAGATGTCAGATGATAAGATAAAGTTCGCCTTTTCAAACCATACAAGTCTTTGTTGAGGGACACCTATGTCCAACATTGGAGAGATTTTTAAGATTTTTCATTCCACTTTGAGGTGTCTGGCCTTTTAAACCATACAAGTCCTTTGTTCCGAGGAACCTCCCAACAGGCTTGTTGATTGGATGGTGTGAGAAGTTTGTGTACCTATAGAAGTTCCTAACCTGTCCACTAGGGATAGTCAGGTATTACAAATGAATTGGTGGTCTTAATGATGACTCACTCTTTTATATAAGCAGTAGGTCTTTGTGGATCAAATATATGTCCTATTCAAGTATAGATGATTTCACTACTAACTCTTGGATAAGGACCCTAGAAAGATGTGAATACATTTGGTTTCTAATTTTTCTGATATACTGTATGAACTGTATTGGAATAGTTGATTTCCTTTGGAAATATAGAGATTACCCAATTCACAAACCATCTTATTATTATTATTATTATTATACAGTATTTATAAAGCGCCAATAGTTCGCTCAGCGCTGTACATTATAAAGGGGGACAGAACATGTGACAGAACAATACCAATACATGCAAAACATGAGGGTATCGAGGGCCCTGCTCTTTCAAGCTTACAATCTAGGAGATATTTCATCACTTCAAACTTCAGTTGAGTGGGATGCAATACCCAACCTTATCGAATAGATTTTGGTGTGGGGGAATATACCGTTGATAATATTTCTGTTGATATATGCCACACTTTGTATCTTAAATGACCCAGGTTTCACCTTGTGCTGAATGCACAGTTCAAGGACAGATTGCCTCTTGTTACTAGCACTATTGTGTGAGAATTAGGGTAAACAGAATGGACAGGATTTTGACCTCAGGATATAATAGCCCATTGTGACAGTTTAGAGGTCTTGTTTGGTAATCACACACTTTCCAAGGTTTTTGGAGAAATCAGACAATAAGGTTTCCATCTCACCACTGTCACTTTGGTACCTTGTGTATGCTCACCTGCAGACATTCAAATAGCGGTGTGTTTCAGTTTCATTGTCTCTTAGACCAATTTCTTCCACTCATTGTGTGTGTGGTAACTTTTTGGAATATCACTTGAAATTCAACCTAGAATGTTAACCCCTTGAAAGTCAGCTTTTAAGATGTTCTTTTGGGTAATATCATTTTTCTTAATAAACAGTCCAAAAGTCATCACAGTATCATGAATCTCAATGGTGATGGCCAGCGTGCGTTCCAAGCCTCGCTACCAGCGGGCTGGATGTGACGTCATAGGGACCCAGAAGTGACGGGATCATGCTTCAAAGCGTGATACATACAGGCTGCATAGACTGGTGCCGGCACTCCCAGCACTCCCCCAAAATTACACACTTCAGTGATATAACATTTCTGCAAGCATTTGGGCCTTTCATGGTGAATCAAAAACCTTCACATAAACATAAGATAAACTTCCTAACATTTCCCACAAAAAGATTCAGGAATAGCGAAGACTTTTGGTGACGAAGTTTCGCACCTATGGACTCCATACGTCCTGTCACTTACATTCTGTTCACACTGCTAGAATGTCACTACATTGAAGCAGAAAATAAAAAAAAAAGATTCAAAATGTATTTTAATAAAGCCAAATCTACCTATAAATGACCTAGTAGAAGTATCAGGTAGCTGCTTGGCTACTGAGGTACCTTTCGTTTCTTTCAGGGTTCAGGGGACAATATTCCCATCTCCCAGTGGGACCTTCACAGGTTATCTCCTCAGTTTTTGGGTCAGCCTGGCAATCCAACATATCATTTTGACTTCACATGGGGGAGCAGTGTGGAGCTCTCTGTGTATAGCATCACCGATACTCTAGTTTAGTGGTCTCCAAACTGTGATGTAGCCCTTTGCTGGCTTTTTTCCAGCCCCTGGGACATTTTTCCACCCACTAACATCAACAATGGGGCATAATTCCTATTACTGACACAACCATGGGGCATTATTGCTTCCACTAACACCAATGATAGAGCACTATTCCTCAAACTGACACCAATGACGGGGCACTATTCCACCCACTGACACCAATGACGGGGCGCTATTCCTCCCACTAACAGTTGACCGTGGAATATTTAGCAGCAAGGAAATTTCACGGATGGACTTATTGCACAGGTGGCAACCTATCACAGTACACATGCTTGAATTCACTGAGCTCCTGAGAGCGACCCATTCTTTCACAAATGTTTGTAGAAGCAGTCTGCATCCCTAGGTGCTTGGTTTTATACACCTGTGGCCATGAAGGTGATTGGAACACCTGAATCCAATTATTTGAAAGCTGTCCATAGACAAGTTGAAAATCGAACATTCTGTTGACTGAAAAATGAAAATAGCACATATGATTGTGCCATCATTTATTTCGTTTTTCTAAAAAAAAATCCAGCATATTGGATCAGGCTTTTTTGACTGCGACACGAAAATCGCAGGTTGCAGCTGACACACTAATGATGCGAAAAACTGACAACCAGCAAGAATTTTCATTTAGTTTTTGACTCCTTTATGGCCTGCTTAAAATGGTTCTAAACGTTCAGCGTTGAAGGTAAAAACCTGCTGTGTGTAGTAGCCCTCCCAACCCCCCTAACACATACCTGAGCCCCATTTCGATCCAGCAATGTCCACGAGAGCCACGGCTCACCAGGGACTCTCACTCCTGATTGGCTGAGGCAGCAGCCATTGGCTCCTGCTGCTCTCAATCACAGCCAGTGAACCAATCAGGAAAGGGAGGGGGCGAGGCTGAGCTGTAGCTGTGTGTGTGAATGAACACGCAGAGCCACGGCTCGGGAGCCCCCACAGCAGGCTGCTTGCTCTGGGGGCGCCTAACAGGAGGGAGAGGTCAGGAGTGCCAGTGGGGGCCCCTGAGAAGAGGAGGATCTGGGCTGCTCTGTGCAAAACCACTGCACACAGCAGGTAAGTACAAAATTTTTTTTTGAAAATCAAGACTTTAGTATCACTTTTAAGGAAGCCAACATAGAGCAACCTGCGTCGTGTTAACATGAACCTGCGATTTGGCCATGTTGGACGCAGTGACAGGGTCACTTTAATGGCAACTCCTGCCGTGGCATATGCTTTCTTTCCCTTCACTCCCAGATGCTCTATTTAGCTTGTGGCAGCGAGTACAAAAACCTGCTGCCTGCTCCTCCCGGCATTTTAGTGCATCTAGGAGGGACAGGTGTAGTGTAAAGCCCCACGGCCCACAGCTTGTCAGTCTATGGCAGATTGTGACTGGACAGGGCTAAACGCTGTACCAAGTGCTACCCATGTTTAGGGCCCTATGCATTCAGGGACAAAAGTCTGGAAGAAGGAACGCAGCAGGACTCAACTAGGGACTCAACTGCAACTAGATGGACCCATGTGCAAGGAGCCTAAAATGTAATCCATAGACTGAACTGGCAAATTGATACATTGCAGGCCTTTTGGTGTGCTGGAAACTTCTACTTTGTATCACTACATGAATTGTAACAGAAATATAAAACAGAAGTGTTCTGCAACTGCCTGGCTTAGGATCCTTGCATATAAAAGGAGGAGTGTGGGTAGGCCTCCTTTTGCATAGACACACTATTGACCTGAGAGGTAAAAGTGCTGCTTTCTAGTTAGTGTGTGTACATACACCCCGGCCACTTTATTAGGTACACCTCTTCAATTGCTTAGTAATACAAATTGCTAATCAGCCAATCACATGGCAGCAACTCAGTGCATTTAGGTATCTAAACATGGTGAAGACAATTTGCTGAAGTTCAAACCGAGCCAGGGGCAGACTGACCATTTGGAAACTCGGGCACTGCCGAGGGCACGGGGTCAGTAGGGGGCCCCATGAGATGCCCCTGGTACCTTTTTCATAGGCTTTTTTGAGTTTGGGCAAGGACACAGGGGCCCTATGATCCCCTATTCCCAGGGGCCCCATGAGTTGTCAGTCTGCCCCTGAACTGAGCATCAGAATGAGGAAGAAAGGGGATTTAAGTGACTTTGAATGTGGCATGGTTGTTGGTGCCAGACAGGCTGGTCTGAGTATTTCAAAAACTGATCTACTGGGAGTTTTACGCACAACCATCTCTATGGTTTACAGAGAATGGTCCAAAACAGAGAAAATATCCAGTGAGCGGCCTTGTTGATGTCAGAGGGGAATGAGCAGACTGGTTTGAGAGGATAGAGAGGCAACAGTAACTCAAAAACCCCTTGTTACAACCAAAGTATGCAGAATACATCTCTGAACGCGCAACATGTTGAACCTTGAAGCAGATGGGCTACAGCAGCAGAAGACCACACCGGGTGCCACTTCTGTCAGCTAAGAACAGGAAATGGAGGCTACAATTCTCACAGGCTCACCAAAATTGGACAATAGAAGATTGGAAAAACATTGCTTGGTCTGATGAGTCTCAATCTCAGCTGTGACATTCAGATGATGGGGTCTGAATTTGGTGCAAACAACATGGAGGCATGGATCCACCCTGCCTTGTATCAATGGTTCAGGCTTGTGGTGGTGGTGGACTGGTGTGGGGGATGTTTTCTTGGCACACTTTGGGCCCCTCATTACCAACTGAGTATCGTTTAAAGGCCACGGCCTACTTTGGTATTGTTGCTGATCATGTCCATCCTTTTATGGTGGATTTCGAGGTGAGAGGAGAATGGGCAAACTGGTTGCTGTGACATTCAGATGGTAGGGCAGAATTTGGAGTAAACAACATAGAAGCATGGATCCATCCTGCCTTGTATCAATGGTCCAGGCTGGTGGTGTAATGGTGCGGGGGATATTTTGTTGTCACTAGCAAGGTGTACCTAGTAAAGTGGCCGGTGAGTGTATATACACTGTATATATTAAAGCCCAACTCTGAGCAACTAAAAAATGATCCCTTGCAGTGGGGCTGTGCTCGCACTGCAAGGGTTTAATTTTTGTTTCGGTTTCTGAGAAAAAAAAAAGATTAGCCCAATACTCCTCTTCTCTCCACAGCTTCTTCTCTCCCACACTCCAGCGGTCTGGGGTCCTGATGTCATAGAGACCAGGGCAGGGTCCATAGCCGTGCACTGAACATGACACGCCAAGGGACAGTCCACACCTCCCTGCTGTCATTTGGCAGGCTGGACTGGGTGCATGGTAAGTAAACAAACTACAGATAATACAGGCACGCACGGCATCCTGTACTTCTGCATAGCAATCCCTGACCACACAACCATGGATCTGTCTCTGTGCTTGTGTGATCATTTTACAAGGAAGGAATGGGACTGGCAGGATCAACCAGGCATTAATAGGAAATACAGCAAAATAAAAAGTGACACATCACTATGAGACAGGTATACATGCAAACACACATAATTAAAGAAACAAATGTTTGGGCAACATCCACTTTAACCTTAGCAGTGCAGGTACATATTCGGTGTATATACACTATATATAAATATCTAAATGAAATTACATTTTTCGTATTTATTTAGATGCCCCATGATGTTTGTTTGACATCAGCTGGCTTATTAGCCATACAAATGAGCAGAATTGAATCATTTGATTCACCAACCCCCTCCATATACTTTATTCAGGGTCACCACCAAGTTTGTCAACAAGATTTTCTAACAAAACCCTGACGCTTTGTAGCAGTAAATGCGATGTCATGGTTTCCTCCGTGTACTCCGGTTTCCTCCCACACTCCAAAGACATGCTAGTAGGTGAATTGGATCCTGTCTAAATTGGCCCTAAGTATGTGTATGTATGAATGTAAGTTAGGGACCTTAGATTTTACACTCCTTGAGGGACTGATGTGAATATATATATAAAATATGTAAAGCGCTGTGTAAATTGATGGCACTATAAGTAGCTGTAATGAATAAATATATAATACAGTCCACCTCTCTGCTTTGACATGTAGGTTATGATTAGTAGTTTGGCCAGACCTACTACCTATTCCGTCATCTGAATGATTTTTATGGATTTGAGTGGTTGGTCTGACTTTGTACTGCTCCCCAGTATATGACAGCGCTTTATCCGTCACCTACCTGCTTCCCTTGACTCCTGCACTGACATCTAGATCTGTGTCTGGCAGTTGGGGAAATCCCTGCACTGATCTGTCTGTGAAATCTCTGCATCTCCGAATCTATGTAGCCCTGCAGGCGGCTCTGTAGGATCTGCAGACACAGTCCAGCCTTCATCCAGTTCTTGTATTCTTTACAGTTCAATCTCAGCAGAAGACTGGGCAGCGCCATCTCTTCTTCTCCCCCTCTGATAGACTATACACAGGAGGAGTGATTCCGGGGCACAGGTGACTCCACCCACATGTCACCTCACTGACAGCTCTCACCGTGACGTCACTCTGCACTAGAGGAAGCAGGCTGTCAGAAGAGACCGGTTGTCATTTCTACAATTTTCTACTGTTCCCAAAACTATGCAATATGAGGTCAAACCTAAACTATCTATTTGGTTAGTGTCAAACCAGGCATGCTCTTGCAGTACATAGTTGATGGCAGATCTAATGGTGGCCATAAAAAATTTAATTTTTACAAGCGCATCATGTGCAATTCGATCAAAACAATTGAATAGCCATTACCTCCCCTACCGATCAATTTAAGCGCAATTTCAATCGAATTCAATCAAATTGACGTGATTGGCCAGGATGGAATGTCATCGATCGTTTTTCATCAATTGGCAGCACTGTGATGCTCATATTTAGAGAGATCAGATTATGAGACTACATGATGGAAACAGAGATGTGATCGATAATGTGTAATCCTAAATTATGATGATAAAACATAACTATTCATCGAAACCCACTTCCCCACGCTATTATTCCATCAGTTGGGGAAAAACTCAATCTTATTGTCACTAGTATGACCACCATAAAGCAGATTGTACAATCAGATTGTATAGTGCAGCGGTCACTAAATGGGGGACCGCGGTCTGCGAACAGCCCCAGCAGCGCTGCCGCCCTGACCTCCAGCCTGCAATGATAGATCCACCGCTGAGCGGGGCAGTCATCGTGGCAACATGACATCACATGTGCGCCCTGCCCCTTTCAGCTCATGTCTCTCCGGCTCCTGCTCCCTGCCTGTACACAAGCGTCCAGCAAGGATCCAGGCACAGCTCCTGTCTGCCCTCAAGTAGGAGCACTCTGATGGGCACATTGAATGTTAAGGGCACTCTGATGGGCACAGCATAGAATGTGCCCATCAGAGTGCCCCTAACATAACATGTGCCCATCAGAGTGCCCCTAACATAACATGTGTCCATCAGAGTACCCCTTAATATAAATGTGCTCGTCAGAGTTCCCCTTAACATAAAATGTGCCCATCAGAGTGCCCCTTAACATAAAATGTGCCCATCAGAGTGCCCCTTAACATAACATGTGCTCATCAGAGTGCCCCTTAATATAAATGTGGTCGTCAGAGTGCTCCTTAACATAGTGCCCCTTAACATAAAATGTGCCCATCAGAGTGCCCCTTAACATAAAATGTGCCCATCAGAGTGCCCCTTAACATAAATGTGCCATCAGAGTGCCCCTTAATATAAAGTGCCCCTTAACATAAATGTGCCATCAGAGTGCCCCTTAACATAAAATGTGCCCATCAGAGTGCTCGCCCATCAGAGTGCCCTTAACATAACATTTGCTCATCAAAATGTGCCCGTCAGAGTGCCCTTAACATAAAATGTGCCCATCAGAGTGCCCCTTAACATGTGCCCATCAGAGTGCCCCTTAATATAAATGTGCTCGTCAGAGTGCCCCTTAACATAAAATGTGCCCATCAGCATGTCCCTTATTTTATGTGAAGGGGCACTCTGATGGGCACATTTTGTGTTAAGGGGTACACTGATGGGCACATTTATATTAAGGGGCACTCTGATGGGCACATTTTATGTTAAGGGGTACTCTGATGGGCACATTTATATTAAGGGGCACTCTGATGGGCACATTGAATGTTAAGGGCACTCTGATGGGCACAACATAGAATGTGCCCATCAGAGTGCCCTGTAACATAACAATCTTATTTTTAGTGCTGTTCACTTATGGAAACCTTTTTCTGGTTTGAAGCTTGAGTCCAGAAGGATACATGTAAGAAAAGAAAGTAGAAAAGCGCCTCTAAGTGCAGACTGTAAAAAACTTGATTTATTGCACATGAAAGACAGTAATTTACAGTAGGATAGATTAAAAAGGCACTTCCATATCCATCAATGGGGATTGAGCCACAGTGAACGGCATGGTGTGCAGTCCAGGATGATGATCTGTCAGTATCAGGCATAAGCGGTCGGCAGGATGGCACCAAGGTGGAGCGCAGCATATGCTCAATGATGTCACCAGGCATCGTGTGATGCGTTTCCTGAGCATGCACTGTGAGATGGCCGACTTTGCGCGCTCCTTTGTGAAGCTGATAGTATAGGAACTGTTTTGTTGGTAAAAGACGTATAGGGATATGCAGGAACAGGAGACCCCCTGATGTTTACCAGCCTCCCCCAACCACCTTGGTGTCAAAAAATAAATATATAATTCCCTATAAAGACCAACAAACATGGCAGCAGCAAGCCATGTGCTCACATCTGCAGACCAAAAGGCAGACTGCTGCACAATTGAAGTTTTTTACAGTCTATAATTAGAGGCACCTTTCTACTTTTTCTTAGAGATCATAGTATACACATCTGTTGTTTTTGATATTTTGTTATATCAGATATATGTTCCCTTGGATAAAAGATGTTGGCATAGCATTATTTGCTATAACTACATATTCTATAGATATATCTAAAACACCCTATACAGGACAACCAAATTGGGGTACTTGTGATGGGATGAGTGTCCTGTTTCAAGCACTGTCCTCTAAACCAAGCAGCTAGGGTTTTCAGTAATGGCAGCCTCTTTTATTACAGGTTTTCTTCTATCCATTGAGGATAGACCAGATCTCTTTATCTGGGTTGTGAAATATCAGTTTATTTTCTTAGGCTAATACATTTCAGAAAGCGATCACAAAAATAAACAAAAAGATTATCAATATAAAGAAATAGCCTGCATGCCGTGCCAAATGGTGGACCTTTACTGTAGATCTTCCAGCTGTCTACCCTCTATGAAGAAGATGCATCTGCTTCCAGATGGGTCACACAGATAACAGTCAATGGGTTTGGGGTAATCCATTCAGACCTAATTAGCCATGGCAGTATATACTGTAGCTCTCTGCACCAGTGTATTAAGTGCAGGGAAACAGCAATAAAACTCAAATAGGTTACCACATTAAAACATATTAGAAAAAAACAAATATATTTAAAAGGAAAATAATGACAATAAATCATTCATGAAAACTAGGGGAAATACTGAGTTTGTCCATATACAGCTGTGTTCAAAATAGCAGTCAGACATCACTAACCTGATCTATCACTGTTTTTGGTAGAAATGATATTTCTACATGGCAAATAATTTACAAGCAGGTGTAGTAGAGTAATAGAAATCCAACAGACCCAACAGTCATGACATGCATGCTGCTGATTCTGTGTAATTGAATCACTAATTGAAAGGGGCATGTTCAAAATAATAGCAGTGTGGAGTTCTATTAGTGAGTTCATTCATTCTTTGAAAAACAGGTGGCAATTATTGCCCTTATTTAAGGAAGGAAGGCAGCAAATGTTGTACATGCTGGTTACAGTGCATTTCTCTCTGAAATTCTGAGGAAAATGGGTCATTCCAGACATTGTTCAGAACAGCGTACCTTGATTAAAAAGTTGATTGGAGAGGGGAAAACATATAAAGAAGTGCAGAAATTGATAGGCTGCTCAGCTAAAATGATTGCAAATGCTTTAAAATGGCAACCAAAACCTGAAAGACGTGGAAGAAAGCGAAAAACTACCATTCGAATGGATAGAGGAATAGCCAAAATGGCAAGGACTCAGCCAACAATCAGCTCCAGGAAGATCAAAGAAGGTCTAAAGTTACCTGTGAGTACTGTTACAATTAGAAGACGCCTATGTGAAGCCAAGCTATCTGCAAGAAGTCCCCGCAAAGTCCACTGTTGAAAAAAAGACATGTGCTGAAGAGGTTACAATTTGCCAAAGAGCACATTGACTGGCCTAAAGAGAAATGGCGCAACATTTTGTGGACTGATGAAAGTAAGATTGTTCTTTTTGGGTCTAGTGGCCTGGAGACAGTTTGTCAGACGACCCCCAAACACTGAATTCAAGCCACAGTACACTGTGAAGACAGTGAAGCATGGTTGCGCAAGCATCATGATATGGGGATGTTTATCATACTACGGTGTTGGGCCTATTTATCGCATACCAGGGATCATGGATCAGTTTGAATACATTAGAATACTTGAAGAGGTCATGCTGCCTTATGCTGAAGAGGAAATGCCCTTGAAATGGGTGTTCCAACAAGACAACGACCCCAAACACACCAGTAAATGTGCAACATCTTGGTTCCAGACCAACAAGATTGACATTATGGAGTGGCCAGCCCAATCCCCGGATATTAATCCAATAGAAAACTTGTGGGGTGACATCAAAAATGCAGTTTCTGAGGCAAAACCAAGAAATAGAGAAGAACTGTGGAATGTAGTCCAATCATCCTGGGCTGGAATACCTGTTCACAGGTGCCAGAAGTTGGTTGACTCCATGCAACACAGATGTACAGCAGTTCTCAGAAACAGTGCTTATACAACTAAATATGAATTAAGTGATTCAAAGGAAAGCAAAATCTTCAAACATTTTTCAGTTTTATATAGTGAATGTTTGAGTTTGTAAAGAAGAATACAAACACTGCTATTTTTTGAACAGTCTAATATTCACTTTTCTTCCATTTTTTTAGAGGAACAACACAAATTTGATATATTTTTCTTTATGTTTTGATTTGGAATAGAATGTGTAGTGTTCCCAATGCATTTGTGTGTATGGAAATAAAAACTATTAGAAGGATTTTGAGCTTTACTCACTTTTTTTCAACACACTGCTATTATTTTGAACACAACTGTATATAGAAATACATTAACCCCTGTGCCAGTGTCCCACTGAAAGACAGTGTGCCCAACAGTCAAGTGGGCACACTGGAACATCAGAGTCTTTCAAACAGCCTTCATGCAATATATGCAATGTTAATTAATGCAAACAATCCAAATCAGAACCTCAGTGAGATTCTTTATGATAGTGGCTGAGAATTTGGATTCTCCAGAACTGCCATTGGTTGGATATAGGTCCTTAGATCACAAGTACATCAGATGCCAATGGAGTTGATAGCTCA